ACACACACACACACACACACACACACACACACACATACATACATACACACACAACCAAAGTTCGTTTGAAAAAGGCTTATAATTAACTCTTTACTATAGGCCTACATGTATTCCCCTCCGCTCGGCCGGCGTGTTCTGTGAGTGGCTCAGTCTGTGGGTGGCTCAGTCTGTGAGTGGCTCAGTCTGTGTCTGCTCCAAGAACTCAAGGCTAAGGCAATAAATTGGACAGAAAATGTATTCTTGTGAATGCGAGTGTGTCTTTGTGTGTGTGTTCTTGTGAGTGTGTCTTTGTGTGTGTGTTCTTGTGTGTGTGTGTGTATGTGTGTGTATGCATGTGTGTATGTGTGTATGCGTGTGTGTGTGCGCGTGCGTGCGTGTGTTTGTATGTGCATGTGTTTGTGTGTTTCTGTGTGTATGTGTGTGCACGTGCGTGCGTGCGTGTGTGTGTCTGTGTGTTTGTGTTCTTGTGTGTGTGTACTGTGACGTCACTGTATGAACTTGTTGAACACACAGACACACGCAAACACACAAAAAACCATACACACACAAAAACAAACAAACACACACACACACGCACAAATACAAATGTTAGTAACACACCACGTGGCTGCAGAGTTAGACACATGTCACGTGGCTGCAGAGTTAGACACATGTCACGTGGCTGCAGAGTTAGACACATGTCACGTCGCTGCAGAGTTAGACACATGTCACGTGGCTGCAGAGTTAGACACACAAAACGCGGCTCAAATGTTACCCCCACACCACGGGGCTCAAATGTTAGGCACACACCACGGGGCTCAAATGTTAGGCACACACCAAGTGGTTGAAGAGTAGGAAACATACCACGTGGTTGAAGAGTTACACACATCACATGGCTCAAACGTTAGACACACACCACGTGACTCAAATGTAAGACACACATCACATGGCTCAAACGTTAGACACACACCACGTGACTCAAATGTAAGAGACACAACACATGTCTCAAACGTTAGACACACACCACGTGACTCAAATGTAAGACACACACCACGTGACTCAAAAGTAAGACACACACCACGTGACTCAAATGTAATATACACACCACGTGACTCAAATGTAAGACACACACCACGTGACTCAAATTTAAGACACACACCACGTGACTCAAATGTAAGACACATACCACGTGACTCAAATGTAAGACACACACACCACGTGAGTCAAATGTAAGATGCATACCACGTGACTCAAATGCAAAACACACCACGTGAGTCAAATGTAAGACACACACCACGTGGCTGAAGAGTTACACACACCACGTGACTCAAATGTAACACACACACACCACGTGACTCAAATGTAAGACACACACCACGTGACTCAAATTTAAGACACACACCACGTGACTCAAATGTAAGACACATACCACGTGACTCAAATGTAAGACACACACACCACGTGAGTCAAATGTAAGATGCATACCACGTGACTCAAATGCAAAACACACCACGTGAGTCAAATGTAAGACACACACCACGTGGCTGAAGAGTTACACACACCACGTGACTCAAATGTAACACACACACCACGTGACTCAAATGTAAGACACACACCACGTGACTCAAATGTAAGACACACAATGCGTGACTCAAATACAAGACACATACCACGTGACTCAAATGTAAGATACACACCACGTGACTCAAATGTAAGACACACACCACGTGACTCAAACGTAAGACACACACCACGTGGTTGAAGAATTACACACACCACGTGACTCAAATGTAAGACACACACCACGTGACTCAAATGTAAGACACACACCACGTGGCTTATAGTGGAACTCGGATTCAACGAGGTAGCCTGCCGTGACCTATAATCTTGTTGAATCCGAGTGTTCATTACAGTGGAATCCACTTCTATAAATTATAACGAGTCCTGAAAAAACAAGAAGTCTGTTATAAAGACACTATTCTAAAACCCCGTTTTTTCCCTTCTTTATCTTTGTAAATGAAATACTGCTATAGCGCAATCAGACAAACATGCGAGTCGTTTATAGCGGATTATTGCTGTTGCTGTGCACAGCGCATAGGCCATTTATTTTTGTAAAACCTCGCCAGTTGTTGTTGATCTTGCGAAACAAAGAATGGGAGAGCCCACGTGTGCCAACAATGAAGGTGGAGCGAATGAGTGGGGAGGGTGTGGCATGCACAGACAAACAGAACGCATCGTGTGATAGGCCAGCCTAGTCTAGATTATCTAGGCCTACCGTGCCTCTCACTCTCACTTCTCCGATGCGGGGATGGAGAGGTCACAACGATATGACTGTGATGGATGGAGCGAATGTGTGACGTGCGCAAGCAGACGGAACGCACCACAGGGTGTGGTGGGGTGGGGGATAACACAGCAGGCGAGTTAGCCTAGAGAACTTTATTTCTGATCGCCGACGCCGAACTGTCACATTGCTAGCGCTAGAGAAAGAAACCTTATTCGATTTTTGATCAAGTAAGACTTAAAGGTCATGTTGAACCAAATCATCACCAGGGGAGATTACAAAAAGAAACGAACAGAAAACCAGACACATAGATTAGGCCTACTGTATTATTCCCCTTGAATTTATTACTGGATTCCTTATAACGAGAATCCTGCTATAACGGATGTTTCGCACCGGTCCCCTCCCTCTCGTTATAACAGGATTCCACTGTATCGCAAACATGAGGTTTTGTGTAGATAATTACAGGCACTGAGCAAGTAATGTATAAAGACAAGTCACAAGTACTGCCTGAAATGCCTGCATATTATGAGCTGTGTAAAAAAAAAAAAGACCGATTCGTCCGTGCCTCCACCGATGACTCAGAGACTGATCTGATTGGTCCGTGCCTCCACCGATGACTCAGACACTGATCTGATTGGTCCGTGCGTCCACTGATGACTCAGAGACTGATCTGATTGGTCCGTGCCTCAACCGATGACTCAGAGACTGATCTGATTGGTCCGTGCGTCCACCGATGACTCAGAGACTGATCTGATTGGTCCGTGCGTCCACCGATGACTCAGAGACTGATCTGATTGGTCCGTGCCTCCACCGATGACTCAGAGACTGATCTGATTGGTCCGTGCCTCCACCGATGACTGACAGACTGATCTGATTGGTCCGTGTGTCCACCGATGACACAGAGACTGATCTGATTGGTCCGTGCCTCCACCGATGACTCACAGACTGATCTGATTGGTCCGTGCGTCCACCGATGACACAGAGACTGATCTGATTGGTCCGTGCCTCCACCGATGACTCACAGACTGATCTGATTGGTCCGTGCGTCCACCGATGACACAGAGACTGATCTGATTGGTCCGTGCCTCCACC